TTGGCCCAGGTGTGTTGGGCTAGAAGGAAAGTCTGCCTCTAATGTGGCCCAATGACTACATTAGCATTTGTTGCATGTGGGGCAAAAGACAATGTGGGTTGTAGCCCATCAGTGGGTCTTGCCACTGACCTTTGAAGAAGTTAGCTGAGCCTGAAAGGAGTGCCTTGCACGTTGTGCAGATCATCAAACCACCAAGAGGGGCCTAGAGTGTCTCCTTGCAGCCTATGGCCAGTGGCTGGTGATTGAGAGAGATCAAGGCACCCACCTTACTGGAAGTGTGTTGCAAGGATGCATGCAGCATTTAGGAGTAAAATGGATGTGGTCTTGGACATTACAACACATGGACCGGCGATGGCTAGCTCTTCTGGCACCATGGGGAAAAAGCCTGCGGCCCCCCATAATCATGGTTGTTTCCTTCTACTGTCCTTGTGTCCTGGATGTGTCCCTGGCTGCAGCTGCGACGTGAAGGCTGGAATAGATGAGCTTTGGACTTAATCTGCATGGTAATTTGAACCTTGCTGAATAATCTGGCTTGAGAATTATCATGATTGTGTTGCTGTTGTCAAGAAAAAACTGCTTAAAGAGAAGCTTGACTTTGGTAAAAGTTTCGTGAGCAATCTAGCATGTTTGTTAGGAATGAGTAAACTGTTAGGGTCCAGGCTTCCGAGGCTTCCCCAGAGAACAAACTACACAGGCATAGAGATGTAAATTCAAGCAAAGTCTTTATTCAGCCAACTAGTTGGGGTCCAAGTCAGCCCGACGCAGCGGGTCTCAACAAGGACCCCGAGCACTCAGAGCCAAGGGTTTATATAGCAATTTCAAAGCACTTAACTCATAGCAATTTTCTATAACTATACATTATTCTTGCAAGACATATATCCTGGGGTTAAGCAAGGGCAGGGTAAGACTACTCAATGGTTAGGGAGGTTCTGCACGATAAGCTTGGTATGTAAGATTTACTGACCAAGGTTAGCTGACCAAGGGTCACAGCTGCCCACCACCCGGTGCTCATGATTAACTTGTTTTTCAAGGCCTTACCCAGTTCCAGTTTTTCTTTCTAAGTCACATACTCAGAAAATGGCTTCTAGGCCTTTAAGATGGCTATGCTTATGCTAACCTATTTCTATTCTTACAAAACAAGTGTAGAAACATATTTTGTGCTTAGAGATTGTGCTGTAAAGATTTACTTAATCTGCATAGGCTGAATCTTCTGTCTTGAGGATTATCAAGATTTTATTGCTGTTGCTTTTGTATGTTATTAGATTGGTCAGAAGAGGGAGAACTAGGAAATTGTAAGGTGAGATTTCTGGAGGGGTGGCCTGTGGGTAAAACTGTAATATTTCCAGAATATCTCACCTGGACTTAGTATATCTGCATAACAATAGACATTCAGAGGTGGAAAGAAGTATGGCTTTAGTGCATTTGCATCATTCCTCAGGGGTGGAGAGAAGTTCATCTCTGTATCAATGGGTAATTCCCTGGGCAAGGAGGGCTTATCTGAGAGGTAATGGGGGAGGGTGGGTTTTATTGCTGTTGGAGCAGAAGAGAGAGAAGGGCATGACTGCAGTTTTGTAATCAATAAATGGGTTTTAAACTTTATTTCTCCCTTTGACTGACTTTAGTTTTTAGAGGTATTTTGCCCCGGGATTTTCTCTCCCCAGACTTACAGTCTCCATATGTTTTCCCTGCTTCTACTTTTGATTCCCAACTGTTTTATGGTAAATTACCCTTATGCTCTGTTTGGTAGCCTCCAAATACACTACCAGGCAAGCCTTCCCATGTCACTAAAAGACTCAGACCAAATTAAAATGCTGGGGATGGATGGTTTTTTAAAACCAATTTAAACACATAGCCTGAGACAAAGGGAAAAGACCCAGATACATTAAGATGTAGGATAAGGGTGCAAGTATAAGAAGTGTTTAGTAAAGGATCAATCAGATTAGTTCATTCAGTTCTAAGTGATTATTTCTTGCTTTGTTGATCCAAGGTTAAGTGGCCTGCTTCTAATACAGCTTGGAAAATCATAAATTAGTCCTGTGGTAGAGTCTGACAGATATCCAGTTGGTTATGTATTATTTTTTTTGATGCTTCTGGAAAACTGAATTTCATATTTATATTTTATAGCAGAGCCTTTAGAGATAAGTGTATGGAAAAACAGTAACATGTTGGTGATCAGAGAACATGTCTGTTAATTCATTATATTAATCAATGTTATCAATAAAGACTAGGATAGAATCCTATTTAGGCATGATACCATGAATTGTGAGAACATTAACAAACATCCAAGGGCCTTCTGATGTAATCCGTAAGGTATTTGCTATTAGGGCCACCAAATGAGAAGGGCATTTACACTTAGGAACAAAATCTGTTGACACCTTGGCATGAGTCTTTTATATGAATGTAAGTAAGTTCTATCCATCTTGAAAAATATAAATTGTTAAGCATTTATATTAATACTTTATGTGGCTAACTTAGGTTTGGAAGTTTTTTTGGATTGGCTCTCTTTTTTCATGTTGCACAACATATAACACAGCAGTTCTCTATTATGTATGGCTAATTACAAATGTAAAGTATACTTTCTAATAAAATGATGAGACAGGGACCATGGGTGTAGTCAAAGTAGGGTGAGGGCCTCTGGAAAAGGAAAGGCAAAATAATTACAGTCAGAACAGTGTAACAATATGCAAAGAAACCCCCTACCAAAAGTCCAGATTAAGCTTTAAACTCTAGCATCATTCTCAGTGAGATCAGTTAATATTCCACAAATAAAGGAAAGTATCTCAGCATAGCCCATGCTTCTATTATGCTAATCATTTGTAATCATGTGTAAGATTCACTTTAGCATACTGAAAGCCCCAGGCCTATGTGCTGTTTTTCCTCCTTTAGACCTGATGAGGTGATTTGCAATCTGGAAAATTAATAATGGCAAGCTGGAAAACTGATAAAAAAGACCTAATGTCTTCTCAAGGATGAACATTTTGAGCACTTAACAGGTCCACACCCCTAAACCTTTATCACATTATAAAACCTCTAGACAGTGCACAGCCAGGGGCTCTCTTGTCCACGCCAGGAGCTCTGTCTTCTCACTTTATCTCTAAAGAAAAGCCTCTCCCTGGCTCTCCTACCTTGAGTGTTTGCTAAATTCATTCTTCGACTCTGCAAACAAGAACCCTGGCATCAATGAGAGAACAAATATGTGTGGCCTAGTGGCCATTTGGGAAACTACAAAAATAGTTTAGATAATAAATACATTTCATTATTCAAAATTTGGGCATGGATTTAGGAAACATAATATCAAAAAGTTTCAAATGTCTCATTACATCAGGCTATGAATACTGTCATAGATTTCTAAAGACAAATACTAAAATATTAACTATAAATACAGAATTATGCACAAAATACTTGGGGATATTTTTGGTTGATTGTTTGGTATTTAAGACCTGAGAGGCTTTGTCAAAATTATTCCTGGAATCAATGGAAAGCCACAAATAGATACAGACCCTCTGAAGGTGTTGGGGAAATATAATTTAAAACAAAATTTCTCAATCCAGGAAACTTCTCCACAAAGGTAGTAAAAATAGAAAAGTTACTGAATAAGCATGAAAACCAGAATGTGATGCATATTACAGGCAATCCGCTACAGGAATAACAAACATAGAAAGAAATCTCACTTTTACGTAACTAAGTGGATACAACACATTTAAAACATTAGGAAGGTTTTACAATTTCAAGTCATATGATAACTAAAGTTAGGACCATGTCTTCCCAGCAAACTAGGAAATACAAGTATCTTAATGACTGCATTTCAGAGACGGTTCTAGGGTTCTTGAGGAAAGCTCTGAGTTGGGAGACAGGCTAGATGCATATTTGCCATTTGATTTTACAAAGATTAACTTTTAGAGGGGTAGTTTTAAGACATGTAAATCCGGTCATTGTTTTCTTTTTATGTACAGGTGGCCAATTGCTACTTCGTGTATCTGCAGTAGTCAAGGTTTTCACCTTTGGCTTTGGGTTTCTTTCTATAGATTCTAAGACCTCCTCAGGGGCAAGCTAACAGCTCCTATGAATTTAGGTTTGCATTTCCTAATCCCTTTAGTTCTTTTCCACTCTGTACCAAGGATTTCTTTTTAGTAATCCTTATGCGTTAAAGAGCTGCCTTGTTATTTTTTTCACCATAGAGAATATTTCTGTAATGTTAGGTAGAAAGATACACATGAGCAGCTGGGGGAAGGGGAAGATAAAGTTCAAGGAAAAACTGCCCAAACTGCCCAGGCAGGGAGAAGAGAAAACCTTTACAGGGAAATAACTTCTTTGCCTATCAGGACCTATCAGTCTGGTCTCAACGTGATTCCAGTGTGGGCGCAATAAAACAAAACTAAGGACTGCCCAAAACACGCCTTATCCGAGGAAGGAACTTGCCCACTGAGGAGGATGGCTATCCATGATGCCAGGGTTCTTGTTCACGAAACCAAAGAATGAGCTTCACAATCAAGGTAGGAGAGCAAGGTACAAACTTTTATTTAGAGATAAAGTGAAAGGACAAGAGCTCCTGGCTCATGCTAGGAGGGGACAAGAGAGTCCATAGTGGTGCGTTGTCTAGGGGTTTTATAGGCAGTTGAGGATTTTTGAGAACACGAAAAAAAGCTTATGGGTGTGGACTTATTAAGTGGTCCCTGAATATTTAGAATTAACTTAACACAAGCAACTTCTTCTGATGATTTCTCCCTGAGATACCAGCATGTTGGTCTGGGGGCATATGAAACAAAGCCGTCTGCTCAGCACCCAAAGTGGGCTGAGGTATTGTTTGCTAAAGAGTAAGTGAAGAATTTCTAACGTCTTAACTTCTTGGGTATTAAAATGCAATCTTATCTTTAAGGTTGAATCCTTCTTGCCTTTTACTGGGTTGTTTATGGCTGGGCCTGCATGCTAAATTAGTTCGCCCAGTTTGCAAAATCACTTCATCAGATCTGAAGGAGGAAAGACAGCACATAGGCCTGGGCCTTTTAGCATGTTAAAGTGAATCTTACACATGATTATAAATGATTAGCAAAATAAATACATGTGCTACTCTTCCTTATCTGGGGTACACCAATTGATCTCACTGAAGAATGACTCTAGAGCTGAATGTTTAAGAGTTTTAGTAGGTGGTTTCCTTGCAGGTGGTTAAATTGCTCTGACTGCAAATACCCTGTCTTGCTTTTTCCAGAGGCCCTTACCCTACTCTGACTACCCCCATGGTCCCTGTCTCATCTATACAGGTGGACCCATCAATCAAATAACCCCACCTTGTCAATCAAAGAGGCACTTCCTAGCCAGAATTCACTATCAGGACGCCCACCTAACAGATGGAATCCTTTGTCTACCTCCACACTGGCCAGCTCCTCCCGTGGGGAGTGTATTCAAATAAAACTTTCACTCTGCTCTTCTACTGTCCTCTGCTTTCAACTCTGATGCTGTGGGGACAAGGACCAAGAAGGAAATCAATCCGTAACAATGTGACCTCATTTCCCTTATAATTTAGTCTAAATGCCTTTCAATTGCAGCACACCCTAAACTGTTCTGACATATTACTTAGACCTTGAGTACTTTCCTGGCCTTCAGTACTGAGTGCTAACCAGGCGGTCTATCAGAAAGGAGACGTTAAGAATGGCTCGTCCTGTTTTAACACCTAAGTCATGAACTTTGTTTCTTGAGCACAGAACACAAAGTGCCAGAATAGGTTGTCACCAAACTATTATCAAGTTAGAAGGCCTCATGTATACCTAAACGTATCACATCACACCAATTAGTGTCCGGACACCAGGTTTTCTTTAACACATGCTTACTACTGAGCTGATCAGTTTCGTTCTGAAAAATCTTGACGGTTTCGCCAAGTTTTGTTGACAGTGGAATACTCGAGTAGGAATACCACAGAAAATGTTAAAACTATATGATTGCCTACTACATTATCACAGTAAGTCAGTAGCAATCTAGTCTTTAACGAAGCCCAGAAAAAGGTTAGGGATTAAATGTGACTGAAACACAATTTACGGACAAACCAGTGCAACGGCTCCTCAGATGGAAAACTAGGGGGCCCTGAAAAGGGCCTTTGGGTTTTGGGATATTTAGGACAACTCAACCACCAAATCCGTAGAGGGTGCGGCCCTGGCGCTTAAGGGCGTATACCACGTCCATGGCTGTGACCGTCTTGCGCTTGGCGTGCTCGGTGTAGGTGACGGCGTCGCGGATCACGTTCTCCAGGAACACCTTCAGCACTCCACGGGTCTCCTCGTAGATGAGGCCAGAGATGCGCTTGACTCCGCCGCGCCGGGCAAGACGGCGGATGGCAGGCTTGGTGATGCCCTGGATGTTGTCCCGCAGCACCTTGCGATGGCGCTTGGCACCGCCTTTACCTAGACCCTTCCCGCCCTTCCCGCGTCCAGACATAATAACGAGAGAAGCCAGCGTTTTGTCACCAACGCGGCCGATGCAGGCCTTTATACGTCCGCTGGCGGACCGAACTGAGAACCGAAGAAAGGAGGCAGGAAGTCCCGCCCCGGCCGGGACGTGGGGGGAGGGCACAACCTCACCAAGTGGCTTTCTTGTGTTCTTTTGTCCTGCTTTGTACCACAGCAGTATAACAGTCTTGTTACCATGTTTAAAGCTTTAAAATTTGTTTTTGAATGTGAACGCCAAACATAAGTGTTGTAGCAAACAATAACAAACCACAGCGCTTTGTCCCGCTGATGCTGGGGTTCTTCTTGCTCACGAAGCGGAAGAATGAGCTTCACAAACACTCAAGGTAGGAGAGCAAGGTACATGCTTTTATTTAGAGATAAAGTGAGAGGACAGAGCTCCCGGCTCAGGCCAGGAGGGACAAGAGAGTCCGTGGTGGTGCATTGTCTAGGGGTTTTATGGGAGGTTGAGGATTTTCAGGAATGAGGGTAAAGGGTTAGGAGTGCAGACTTGTAAGACCGCCTGCCCTGCCCTCAATGTGGGCTGGGCTGTTGTCTGTTTGCTTGGGTTGTTTATAGTTAAGATTGCTTACTAAAATAGTCTTTTGCTTAGGTTGCAGATTACGATTAGAGAAGGGAAAATAGCACATAGTTGCAATTAAAATAAACTGGGCCTTTTAGCAGGATAAGGTAAATTTTACATTGTCATGCTGTAATTGATACAATAAAGTGATGGTTTGTGCTGAGATACCCTTCTTTATCTGCAGAACACTCAAACATTCCAGACCAAGTTGCTCCTGGCCTTTGAGCTTTAAGTGATTTTACTGAAGAATGTCTATGTTCCTAGTCATGTATACAAATCTTTACCCTAGAGAATTAGTGTGACTCTGACTTTGCATAATGCTTAACACAGAGTTTTGACAGGGACTTCTTTGCATATTGTTACATTGTTCTGACTCTAATTATCTTGCTCTGCTTTTTCTCCCGTGGCCCTCACCCTACTCTGCCTAATCCCATGGTCCCTGTCTCACCGCCATACAGATAGCTACTGCTGGCAACTCGTTATTTTGGTGAACGATAAAAGCACTTTCCCTTCCCCCAAAGAAAATTACACGGTGCTGCATATCGTGTTTTGAAACCTCTTTACACCGATTTTATTGTAACCAATTTTCTTAGATACAAGAAAAATTTATTTTTAATGTCTGCTTGTTATTCCTTCTTATGAGTTCTCTTTAATATAGTTTGGACCAACTCTAGTAGCCAGTTTTTGTATTTTTAATGATTTATTTTTTCTGCACTTAATAAATTTACTTCACTGTACTTGGGTACTCTATGCTGTATAGACATTTGTAATGAAGAGCAGCAGAACATGCCAATCCAAAACATCCCTGTTTGACACAAGGATTATTTTGAACTAATTATTTTGGGGTAAAAGCAGGAGAAGCTCTAAAAACAATAGAGTTTGATCTCCTTAAAGGGAATTTTACATTTAACAGAGAAATCTCTATTTGTAAATTTATCTCTGTACTAGAAAGAGAATAACTAAATTGCCGGAACTTATAAATGGTGAAGGCTCTGAACTTTACCAAACAACCTTACCTTAAGGTGGATCCCCACCTCCGCACCCTACAAAGCATTTTGTCTTTAGCTTAAGATAGTATTAAAATGGTAGTTTTGATGCCGGGGTTCTTGTTTGCAGAGTCGAAGAATGAACTTAGCAAACTGTCAAGGTAGGAGAGCCAGGGAGAGGCTTTTATTTAGAGATACAGTGAGAGAACAGAGATTCTGGCTCATGCCAGGACAGGACAGGAGAGTCCGTAGTGGTGCATTGTCTAGGGGATTTATAAGCCGTTGAAAGACAAAAAGCTAGGAACTCAGAACCACCAAATGGTCTCTAAATGTTTATCTTTGAAGAGACACTAAGTTTCTTATCAGTTTTCCGGACTATTTTGCAGAGTTAACATAAGAAATTTACTGCTTTGATTCTTTCCCAGAACAGCAGTTTCTTGTTTTGGGAGTATATCAATCAAGGATGCCTGTTCCTGCTCCCAAGGTAGGCTGAGTTATTGTCTGTTTGCTAAATAGTAAATTAAGAATCTTATTTCTTAACACCCTGGGTGTTAAAATACAATCTTATCTTTAAGGTGGAATCCTTCCTGCCTTTCACTATGTTGTTTACAGCTGGGCCTTCCTGCTATATAATTGCCCAGGTTATATATTACTTGATTAAGGGGCTGGAGGAGGAAAAGCAGCATCTAGGTAAAGTTCAAAATAAACTGGGCCTTTCAACAGGCTAGAGTAAATTTTACAATAGCCTCATTTTGAGACAGGGACCGTGAGTGTAGTCAGAGTGGGGTGAGGGACTTCGGAAAAAGCAAGGCAGGGTATTTGCAGTCAGAGCAATTTAACTACATGCAAGGAAATCCCCTAGTAAAACTCTATTAAACATTCAGCTTTAGAGTTATTGTTCAGTGAGATCAGTTGGTGTACCTGTGTTCAGGAGATGTACATGTTATTAAACTTCAACATGTACAAAGAAGAGTAGCATATGTTTTTATTATGCTAGTCATTTATAATCATGTGTAAGATTAACCTTAGCATACTAAAAGGCCCAGGCCTATGTGCTGTCTTTCCTCCAGATCTGATGAAGTGATTTTGCAAACTGGGCAAACTAATTTAACATGCAAGCCCAGCCATAACACAGTAAAAGGCAAGAACGATTCCACCTTAAAGATAAGATTGCATTTAACCTACTCTTTAGCAAACAATGCCTCAGCCCACCTTGTGGGCTGAGCAGGTGGCCTTGTTTCATATGCCTCCAGACCAAGATGCTGGTATATCAGGGAGAAATCAACAGAGCAGGAAGTTACCTGTATCAAGTTAATTCTAAATGTCCTAGGAACACTTAGTAAGTCCACACCCCTAAGCTTTTTTTCATGTTCTCGAAAAATCCTCATTTGCCTATAAAACCCCTAAACAATGCACCAGTCCAGACTCTCTGGTCCCCTCCTTGGCATGAGCCCAGAGCTGTCTGATTTTACCTTATCTCTAAATAAAAGCCTATATATACCTTGTTCTCCTACCTTGAGTGTTTGTAAAGTTCATTATTCGGCTTCCTGAACAAGAATTCCTGCATCAATTTAATTGACACAAACAAGACGTGGGCCATGCTGAGGAATTTCCTTATCTGGGGGATGTTCAAACATTCTAGGCCAAGTTACTCCTGGCTTTTTGGTTTTAACTAATCTTCACTGAAGAATGCTTATATTCCTAGTTAGATATTTTACTTTAGAGAATTAATGTGATTCTGATTTTGCTTAATTGTTTAAGGAGTTTTCGTAGGGGTATTTTTCCTGAGCACCTCACCCTACTCTTACACCCACGGTCCCTGTCTGTTTGAGCTAGTTCCAGTTTTACTCAGTTCTCCTGGTGTCTCCCATGTACTCAGGAGATGTACATGTTTTTAAACTTCAATTTATTTTTCCCATGCTAAGTTGTCTTTAATTACAGGGATGTCTCAGCCACAGAACCTAGAAGGGTAGAGGGGGAATTATTTTTCCTCACTCTATTCTTTTGTTATATATTGATATGTTTTAAATCATAGTTGTATTAGAGGTCATAATTTGGTATGGCAGGTATCTTGATTATTTCCATCCAAAATTTCCTAATCTAGTTTCACAAGATTCCTTTCTTGGAGAACTGTAAGGCCAGGGAGAGGAAATCCTGGGGCAAAATACCTCTAAAAACCGAAATCAGTCAAAGGGAGAAATACAGTTTAAAATGAGTGTATTGCTCACAAACTGCATCCCGGGTTGTCTTTGTTCTCTGCTCCGGAAGAGGCCAGCAAGCAAGCAAGCAGCCCCCTTGAAGGGCCCCCACCAGTAAGATGGCGAACTTCCGGCTTCTCTTGGTGGGGGGGGG